CATAAAATGATACTCGTGAAGAGTGTGCTTCTTAGCTCAAGTAGACACATGAGACTAAATGGGCAGCTTCTGTGCAGAGGTGAGATGAGAAGGTAGAGAGGGTTAGGAGCTGGTTGAATGGACATGGGAAATCGGGTGGAAAGTGGGAGTGTGCTGTCACAGTATAGGGAGAGCAGTTAGGGTCACATAACAATGTATGTATAAATTTTTGTATGAGAGACTGACTTGAATTGTAAACTTTCACTTATTTAAACTACAACAATAAAAAAAAAGGCAAAAACAAACAAACAAACAAAATACTGATGTCGGGGCCTTTACAATTTCTGGGAATAGGGTTCCAGGAATCTGCATTTTGAGTGTAGCCATAGCATCTAGAATTGGAAATTACTCTAAAAGCAAGATATTTTGGATGTGTAAACTTTGTTATTCAGTAGATTACTTTTTATTTTTGTGTGTGTGTGTTTAACTGAAAAATGTGGCTCAGCTCATGCTAGTAACTCTTTGACTTTTTATGCACACAATAAATATATGTTTTAAAAAATCATTATCTCCATCAAATTTGCCAGGAAGCGTTAAGAGTACTATTATAACCCAGCAAATGGTGTTATAGTAGCTTTTAAAGTCCCTTTCTCTACCCCCACCAAACTCTTTCTACAGCCATGTAAGAGCACCACATGTGTGCATACATGTGCACGCACACACACACATACACACTTTTTAAGATAATGTGCAGCTGTGCTGAGCTTCATCTTCACCCTATCAAAGGTGGTATTTTGTCGATCGATGGATTTGTTTTCTGTCTTCCTTTATTATAGATAATTTTGGGGATTATTCCTAGTGAAGTAGGGCATTAGTAAGAAAGATTTCAAAAGCAACCTACATTGTAATTCTTGTGAAAGCCTTGGCACTCGGCTGATGGCCCACAGCTGTGTTGTACGTCCTCAGATAATCTCGTAGTGGACTTTTTAAACATGTTGCCTGATGGTAGCCAAACTGCAGTGGATGGAGGGCACAGACCCCACACAAGATTACCCTCACTTCTGATACCAGATACAAGTATACGCATTGCCATTGAGTTGATTCCGACTCATGGCAACCATATAGGACAGAGCAGAACTGCCCCATAGGGTTTCCAAAGAACAGCTGGTGGATTTGAACCGTGGACCTTTTGATTAGCAGCCGTAGCTCTTACCACTACCCTACCAGGACTCCGATACAAGTATAAAAATCCGTTACTGTCCAGTTGATCTGACTTATAGTGACCCTATAGGACAGAG